TAAGGTGTGCTGTTTCCTGGAGAAGCAATAACCTCCCTCAATTCTACTGGCTGGTGGAGTCTGTTCGTGCTGCTACGGGGGTGCAGGAGGCGGGGGAACCCAGTGAATCACTTCTCTCGTGTCCCGCTGCGGGTGCGGCACCTCAGTGAGTTTCTCCCATGTAGCCCCGAGCCACCGCCCCGCCAATTCTTTTCATCTCCCACCTTGGCTAGGTGCCACCCGCATGCAAATCCCGGTCCAGGGACTCCGTTTAAATACCAGCCCCTGGTTATCGGAGCCTCAGTCTCTTCCCAGACACAGCCCTGCCGGGCCTGGCTGCGGGGAGTCTGTTCCTTCATCCAGAGCATCATGGACTCGTTCTTCGCCCGCCTGTTCCTCCTGGCCTCCCTGGCGCGTGGGAACTCTTGGATGCTAGGTCGTTCGTAACGTCCCCATTATTTATTTCGGGCAGTAGGTCCTTCTCGCATGACATTAACATGGAGGATTCAAGATGTGACTGTGGAAGACAATTTCGCCATTGGTTCAGAATATACTTCAGATTTGGAAAAGTCCTCTCGCAGGATTCCTGGGTTGCAGGCGAGGTTAATACATATTTGTAGGCTAGAAAGAAGTGCCCGTACGCCTGCGTGTGCAAATCAAACTTGGCCAGAACCTGGTAACAACATGGCTGCAGGACAAGGTTTAACATCCCTGCCAACAGCTCCCCCCGCCCCTGTGTGTGTCCCAGCGCCGCTCCTGACCTGCCTCCTTCGGCTACAGCCCAGAACCTCCCTCCCGCTGTTTGCGGCTGTGACTGGGGCAAATCCAACCTGTCTCCCTTTGCCGGGCACACCTCCCAGCTGTCGGGGAGCCCTCCGGCACCCTCCCGCCCCGAGCCCCCTTGGCACAAATCCCCGCTCCACTGACCGACTCTTGGTGCTTCCCTTCGCCGCCTTCGTCTGCGGTTTTTGTGAGCCCGGGTCACCCCCTGGATTGATTCTAAACCCTCATTCCCCGCCCGCGCCTGGGGAGAGGCTGCCGGACACACCGCGCTCGCCAGCCCCTTATTTGTAGCCTTCCAGTGAGTGACCCAGCCCCGTGCAACCCTGTGACCCGGCCCCTTCCCAGGCACTGACCCCCTGGCCGGATGGCCGCACTGGCAGAGCCCCGGAGTTCCTCCCCCACGACGGGATCACTAGATGACAATCGAGCCCTAAATTTAATACCGGAGAACTGGCTCACACCCGGCAGCTGCTTCTCTCCCCATTAAACCCCCGCCCCGGGGCCGGGAGCTGCACAGACACAGCGAGGGACGGTCTGACTCCGCCCTGAGCCCCGAGCCAGAAATGTACTGCTAAGGAAAGGTGGCTGGGACCGTTATAAGAAGCGGGCCATGCAAATAGGGGCGAGAGGTTCCTGTTTAAATCCGTCCCTCTCTCTGCCCAGCCTGCACCCGCAGAGACAATCCGCAGCTCCTGGGTCTGGGCAGTGACCAGCCAGTCCCCGGAGAACTTTCCCCTCCAGCATTAGGGACAATGAGACTTTGGGTCGCTGCTGTTTTCATTGTAGCGGCTTTGGAAGGTATTTTCGTGTCCCTGTTCAAATAACAGGACCAGAAGCCTAGACAATTCTAGTTCGTTTTCTACCGGTTCTTCTAACATCCCTTTATTCGCAGGTGCCCGGTGCCAGGTGCAGCTGGTGGAGTCCGGAGGGGATGTGAAGAAGCCCGGAGACTCTCTGCGCCTCTCCTGCAAAGCCTCCGGCTTCACCTTCAGCAGCTACTGGATGACCTGGTTCCGGCAGGCTCCCGGGAAGGGGCTGGAGTGGGTCTCTGATATTAGCACGGATGGAAGCACCACGCGCTATGCAGACACCCTGAAAGGCCGAGTCACCATCTCCAGGGACAATCCCAACAACCTGCTGCACCTGCAACTGACCGGCCTGAAGGCCGAGGACACCGCCCGCTATTACTGTGCGAGAGACACAGTGACAGGAAACCTGCGGGTGGTCAGACAAAAACCCGGGCTGCAGAATCCGCCTTTCCCCGTTCACCACAAGGGGGCAGAATATCCACAAACAGCTCATCCTGAGAGCTGCGGACCCCGCCCTGTGTTACCGTGTCAGAGACACAGACCGGCCCGAGGGCAGCTCTCGCTGTGTGAGGGCCCTGAAGCGCGCTGGGGGCTCGAGTCACACAAGGGGCTGAGGCTCCTTCTTAGAACGCCGGGCTCCCCATGGAACCTACAGCCTCGAACCCACCGCCCGGCCTCAGTCCCCCCCAGCTAGAAAAGGGACCGGCAGGGGGATCTTGTATCTCCCAGTCGAATACCCAGACCCTGGCTGGGAGGGTTTCCGGGGGTGTCACCTCCAGGCCCTGCCCCACAGCTAATGGCTCTTTATTTCCTTTTTTCTTTCTAATGTTTTCCTGGCTGAGATGGGGGCGGGGAGGACAGACTATTCCCACCCTGCTCTCCTGTAACCAGACCGGTTCTCCATCTGGACCACCAGGCTGGACTCTCCTTTCCTGCACCCGGCGGGTAAAAATGCAGCGTGACGTCACTGGTCTCGGTGAGGCTCTTTATTGGGGATGTTCATCCCTGTCGCTGGGGCAGGACTGAATCCGGCAGTTGCACCCTGGATGTCCCTGGGGGCAGGAGCCGCCCGAACGATCTTTGCGGATAGTTCCGAGTTCCCCAGAATAAAGGTCTTTCATTTCCTGCCTCTGGCGCTGACCCGAGAGCCTCCCCTCCCGCCCTGATCAGAGCCCCGAGTGTTGCCTGGTAACAGGGGCCAGGCCCAGAGAGATCCCGGCCTGACACCGGCCTAACGGATCCGCCAGTCACTTCTCTAGTGTCCCGGGGCAGGGCAGCAGCCTCCGCAGCTCAGTGAGTTTCCCCCATTTAGCTCCGAACCACCGCTGGGTTCCACCCGCATGCAAATCCCGGCCCGGGGGTTCCTGTTAAATACCAGCCCCTGGTTCTAGGAGCCTCAGTCTCCGCCCAGACACAGCCCGGCCCGGCCCTGCCGGCTGGAGAGAGTCTCTCAATGGGAAATGAAAAAGGATTTTCTGCTGCTTCTCCTTTCCTTGCCC